GCCAGACGATTCATTGGAATCCTATATACTTTTCGTCGCAAGCAGCCAGTAGGATTTTTTTATTGTCTCACGCCAGAAGCGGAGCTTTGGCGTGAAATCTTCGGTTTGAACTTTAAAACGTAACTTTTTATTTGTTGTGTGAGGAAAGCGTCGCTTGATGAAGAAAATTTGTTTTGATGAAATCTTAGACAGTGGGGAGATATGTAATTCGAAGACCTTATAAGAGAAGAGGATGATAGGGCTTATGATATACCCGGGAAGACTATCCAGTCTTCCCGGAGTTTTAAAACTGAGTTGAAAAGATATTTACAATAATTGCAAAATAACCGCTAGATTAAGGAGTTCTTTCATTTTCTTCCTTTTTTATTTTTCATTAGTTATACTAAGTGACATATAAATCCGAACACCCAGTTTAAATGGTTTTATTTTAATAAAAGTTGGTGAATGTATTTATCTTGCTGTAAATAACAAGTGAAAACATTTTCAGCCTTATCAGTTGGACATTCCGATTTTTATACTGCTTTTTTTAATTCACTGACGCTCTAAAAATGAATATTTCAGCCGCAGTAAAGAATCAACGTTGGCGGATTTTGGTTCTTGACATCCTTTACGATTGGTTACGATGCCTACTAGAGTACGAAGACCTGTACGATTTCGTCAACTTAGTGAGTTTGATAGGGGCCGTATAGTGGGACTTCGGGAAGCTGGACTTTCTTTTCGGGCATTGCAGTTAGAGTGCAAAGAAGTGTAGACACTGTGGTTAGGTGTTGTCAGGCATGGCTTCGAGAAGGCCGTACGCAAAGAGCAAGGGGCATTGGACGCCGCCGTAGAACAACAGACCGTGAAGATCGCCGCCTAAGATTATTGGCCTTAGGGGACCGTTTCTCCACTGCCAGGTCCATTGCAAATGAATGGTTTGCATAACACGGAAGACCTATTGGCATGCGAAGTGTTTACCGACGAATGAGAAGTTTTGGCTTGTTTTCATACCGGCCACACTGGGTCCTCCCTTTAACTCGAGAACACCGACGTAATCGCTTTGAGTGGTGCAGACAACGGTCACTCTGGGATCAGGAATGGAACAGTATTGTCTTTAGTGACGAGTCTCGATTTTGTTTAGGCATGCACGATGGTCGTGCCAGGGTTAGAAGGCGACGTGGTGAAAGGAGGAATCCACAGTTTTTTGTTGAAAGACATGTTAATCACACTGTTGGAGTTATGGTTTGGGGTGCTATAGCTTATGGTTCCAGGTCACCTTTAATGCGCGCAGCGTTATATCCACGAAGTTGTAGAACCCCATCTTTTACCCTATCTTGACACCCTGGCAGATCCAACTTTCCAACAAGATAATGCCCGACCACATGTTGCAAGAGTCACAATAGACTTCTTTCAACATAATGATGTCACATTGTTACCATGGCCACCAAGATCTCCCGACTTATCCCCAATTGAGCACGTGTGGGATATGATGGGTAGGAGATTGCTCAATTTGCAACGTCCTCCTCAGACTCTAGAAGCACTTCGAGAGCAGTTGGTGGTTGCCTGGAATGAGATACCACAGGAGGACATTGACCACCTGATCAGAAGCATGCCTAGGCGCTGTTGGAGAATGTGTAGCACATCAGGGTGCATCCACACATTATTAAAGATGAAAGGGCTTTAAAGCAGTGCAATCATTTTTAAATTTTTATCATTTACTTATTATGCTTCATTAAGTACTTATACAAAATTTTATTAAAATAAAACCATTTAAACTGGGTGTTCGGATTTATATGTCACTTAGTATATTTTTCCGTTTCTTCATAACCTATTATCTCTTCTTCTTTTTATAGCTAAATTGGCATAAATAGTCTTATTATACTGTGACTTAATCTTTGTAGTTTCACATTTTTGTTTTTTGTTTTTGTATAACTTGTTTTTTTTCACTTTTGTACGGGGTTAGATGGTGGAATAGCAGGTGCTAAATCTCGCCCTATGTAATGTACCATGTTTTGGTCAATAAAGACGATTATTATTATTATATATTTATTTCTGTTAGTATAATGATTACACCCCTTCATAAAAAATGGATGAGCTAATAAGGGCGATTGCCGGTTACAACCCTTACTCAGGGCGGATGTACACATTTGGAAGCGACCACTGTAGATACGTTTCATGGCCTACTTGGTAGTGCACAATGCCTTATACGAATTTCTTATTTTGATTGTGATAATGGCTATGGATTGTTCGATAATATCTCATGTTTGTATTCAGCCCAGTGTTAATATTGTCAGTGCTTGATATACTCCAACAAACGCATAAAACTTTTGACAGGATTCCTCATACCATACACGACTATGCAGTTCTAGGGCAATCTTATTGTCGCTGTTTAGAATATCTCATACTATTTAGAAGCAATAGCATAGATACAAATACTGTTCCAGAAATTCACAGGGTAATCCTTATAGTTACATAGATACTACTGTTACAGGGCGATAAAAAAATATTGACAACACAGCCAGTACAGGAAGTAGGTCCAAAGATATAGGAGATATAGCTTGTTCTAACTATAGTCTCCGCAGTGGAGAAAACAATCAAGTTGAAGTTGTGTACAGGCAGTACTTACAACATAAGGAACACAAAAAAATACGACGCTATTCACCCCAGTAGCGTAGAACTACGGATGATCCTACTTAAATAGATATTTAAACTTTTAAATTGCGTATCAGGCAAATGGTACCATAAAAAAGTCGCCATGCATAATGCGGTATCGCTACTGTTCCACCATCACCATCTAGTTTCTTCCCTGCCCTAAGTGACCCTGTCGAACAATGCTGCTAAACCACATCAGTCAAACAGGATACTATAACTCAAGATCGAGCGCTAACGATGTTCGGCATATGAGTGGAATCACGTCATTCCGACCGAACTCGTGATGTGTCTGTTAATATTTATCTGTCCCATATGTACTGGCTTTCATAGTTTTAACAAGGTTTTCCCAGTCTTCCGCCTTAAAAGAATTCCATATATTTTGTAATTTTACTAGTAAATCAGAAATGTTTCGTCGTGGATCATTTCCTTAACTGCTGCTTCATTTTGTACCATTACAGTTTCGGTAATATTTAAATCAGGAGTACTGGAAAGCCAGTCAAGAGCGGAAATATTATTAACCTGCAACCATTATCTCTTGGTTTTGGCCGTATGACGTGACGCCCCATTTTGTTGAAAAATAAAGCTTCTATCAGGTGATAAAATTGGAATTGACACCAGCAAATTGATTTCGAGGATATTTTGATATCTAGCTGCATTGAAGTGAAGTTTTCCAACTCCAAAAACAGACATGCTTCCCGAAACCATTAAACCTGATGGAAACTTTTCTTTTTAGACGGTCTTTTCGAAACGCTTCATTCTTATTTTTTATAACCCGGGATCGGTGGTCATCAAATTTTGATTTTTCCCTAAAAGTGATATTTTTCCAGTTTGCGTAAGTCCACATTGCCCGTTTCTCAGCCTGAATCTATGCCTTCATACTTTTTTACAATATCTTCTACCAAAGACTGTGACATTTATTTGTTTACCAGTATCCCGAAAACTCTTTCCTTGATGAAACAATGTTATAATCAAAACTGTGATTGCACCGTTTGTTGCTTTACCACGTGACATTTTGAAGCAAATTGATTCACAGAATTGATTCGTACATCAAAACGTCAAATAGTAAACACTTTTTTGTTTCCATGGCCCGCTATCATTTTCTTTCCGATATAGTGTCCGAACATTTATGTGTATGCAAAACGTTGCATTGTTACCAATATTAGTTTGATTTTATATTTCAATATCATATTACTCGAAAACAGTTTTTTTAATATGATGTGCAAACAATATATTTCATTGTCTTACTAAAGAAAAACAATTGACTTTTAACCTTACAAAAATAAACAAACATTCAAATAAAATTAGATAGTGTCCGAACATTTTTGTGTGTAGTGGCGTGGGAAGTAAAACAGTAGAGCTTTTTTTAGTACGTTTGCATAATTCTGGTGCGCTCCTCCATCGTAAGACAACCTATAATTAAAATACCTTGGCCCTAAATGACAAGAAAAGATCAATATAAAATTACCACATTAGAAAGTCTTTAAGAAGTGGAGCTAAATTTTAATCCCTAACTTCTCACTCCAATACGCAAATGTCGAGCACTAAGAGTGACCTACTGTGGTTCATCTAATGAGATTTTAGAATAAGACCTTGGAGATTCTGCCCGTTGAGCCACCACTGGCGTGGCAGCAATAAATAGTCCGCAAGTACCCCATTTGCATTCATTCCTAAAGAGTGCAGATAGTTGAGGTGAAGAACGAAGGGAAGAGGAAGGAGGAAGGATTGTTTCGTTCAATAGGTCGGCGAAGCGGTCGAGATGCAGCTACTGCAGTCTGCCACTGGCATCCAATAATAATTTTCTATTCTATTTGCGGGTACCCCATTGTCCCTACTATACAGCATTCTTAAATTCAACTGCCTTCCGAAATCCAAATTATAATTATAGCTCTAAGGATCGTTCATACTAATGCATTCGGTACAGCGCGACTGCTATAAAGAACCTAAAGGCGGTTTCCTAATCCGATTTTTGAACTCGCTAAGATTAGCAGAACATCCTCAGACAGATTGCTCCACAATCTCGGCATTCTATATTGTGAGAAACGAAAAATTTTGGCAAGCCGCTGCCGGTCACGAAGGGGTACAGCTGTGCAGTTGCTGCTCTGATAGCTGAGGGAACGACGATCGGCCGTCGACTCTGGCAGAGCGAGCTGTAACGTCGAGCAGTGCACTTCGTGCTCGGATAATCTGCCGTTCCGAAATTACGTTAAATGGTTGTGCTATTATTATTGTTGTTAATACAAGTTGATTGGTGGAAAATTGGTGTTTGACTATCCGTGTTTCTAACATCAGAAGCGGGATTGTGCCCAGGCGCCCACAGTGGTTTGTGATTTGTTTTGAAAACATTGACGTTTTCTTTGTCTCGTGAGGACAAAGGATAACGGTTTCTGTGTCGTTGTGATTGCTGCGTCATAGTTTTTAAAAAAAGACTGCTGCGTTGTGTGTTTGGAGCAAGTCTTGGTGTTCCTGATAAGGACACTCAATTTAACGATGGCTTCAACAGACGAAGACCCCACCCAGTCGCTGGTAGCAGAATTGGTAAAGGCCTTGTAGTCCCAAAGGTCAGCAGAACAGGTAGATTTGCCCTATTTTAGACCCGAAGCAAACGAATCGAGTAAATGGGTAAGTCAAATTGAAGTCATTAAGCGTGAAGTTGGATGGTCTGACGTTCAAACTCTGGCAAGGATTGGCCGATTTTTATTGAGTGGTGCAAAGAGATGGTTCGAACGTTGGAACCCAGACAACAGGGATTGGGCTACTTTTCGAGTTGACTTTGCTGAGGCGTTTCCTCCTGAAATAAATTTGTCAACACATATGAAAGTTATGTGCATGAGAAATCATCTATGCTTAAAAATTTACGTGCAAATTGGTGCGAAAGTGATTTGGTCGAACTCATTGTTTATGGAATCTCTTAACTAGAGGTGCGCAATGCTGCGATGAATGCTAACTGCAGGAATATTTCTGAATTATTGGTTTTCTTGTCACCTTTTGTTAAGCCTTGGTGCAATGACAGACAAAATATAGCCGAAAGTGATTCTTCTTCTCTCAAAAGGAAATATTCATCTGTTGACAAGCAATAAGGTGGTTTTGCTAAAAACTCTAATAAGTGTTTACAGTGCGGAAAATCTGGACACGTTAAAGCGAATTGTGTGAAAAAAACTAAATTGGTATCAGACGACAGATGCAATTCCATATGTCTGCGTGACTTACCAAGCACATCTCATAGTTCTGAAATTTGAAGTTTTTGTGCTAAGAAAGATCACAGCGTATCGAATTGCTTTACCAAAGCTGCTATTGATAAACGTCGCAACATAAACTGGGTCCACCGAAATATTAATTGATGGTTATTATTTTTTCTGTTTAGTTGATACTGGAGCTGATTTATCATTGATATCTGATAAGTTCCTCTACTTATTTGATAATAAGGTTGTTAGCTGCAATGTCATTTTAAAAGGACTAGCTAACGTTACAGTTAAGGCTAAAATTTCTGGTTTTGATATACCGATGTGTTTTATTTTTGTTTCTGACGACTGTCTCGATTATGATGTTTTGATGGGGCGTAATGTTTTTGAAGATGAGAGTCTCGCCACCGTAACAGATCATCAAGGATCACGCGTTGTGCGACGTCAGCTGCCTGGCATAAATCGCGTTGCAGAAGATTTTGGTGCTTTAGTCACAGAAGTTGAAGTACCTGAAGAGCATCACGAGGGTCTTGAAGTTATACTGCAAGATTTCAGTTTCATGATTACAACAGTCAATAAAGTTGGTGCAGTGAATAATGTCAGCCTGAAAATTCGTCTTGAAAAGGATATTGTCGTCTATCGATCAACATTTTTGGTTTCCGAGGATGAGAAACTTCATCAAATGCTACGCCAAGCACTGTGTAATTTGTGCAGTAAAAAAAACAAGAACAGGTCCTCTACTGGGGTTCATACGACCAGTGCACATACCGAAGGAGCCATTTCATACGTTGCACATGGACTGTTTGGGTCCTTTACCAGCTTCAACTGATGGTTATAAGCACGTTTTGGTAATGGTGGATGCTTTTGCCAAGTACTGCATCTTGACGCCTATGAAGTCTGTGACAACTGCAGAGGCGCGTGAAAAGCTGCAGAATGTTCTAGCGCTGTTTGGAACTCCCAAACGAATAATGATGAACGCTGCTACGTCATTTAAGAACACCACGTCTCCAAAGTACCTGGATCGATGGGGCATCGAATACCATTTTGTAACTCCAGATGTGCATAGGGGAACGCTGTATGCGAACCATTAGAAATCTTATGAGGGTTGAAACCCAAATAAGGACAGAATGGCCGAACGGACTATGGAAGATTCAACTTGTTCTCAATTCGACTATGCAAAAATCCATAAATGCAGCTGCTTTTGGGTATCCGAAGCTCGACTCCGATGGTACAAGCTGTGTTGAAGGATGTGTCTAAGGATCCATAAATGCAACTCCTTTGCGCAACCGAGATTTGGATCGACAGCGATTAGCGAAAAGGCTATTCGTTGCACAAGATTTCAACACTGTGAACAAAAAAGAAGGCACAAAGTGCAATTTTCAGTCGGTGATTTCGTACTGATGCACCGGGACTCTCAGATGCACATAAGCAAGAGCGACTATGAGTTTCTTGATCCTTATGAGGTGGTTAAGTGCTTGGAAAATGGACGTTATGAGATTAAGAAGGTTGGAACGACCATCATAACAAAGGCAGCTAAGGAACAGCTAAGATCATGGCCTGTACAGTGGTCCTCCAATGTTGATATGGGAGATATACTTGAGCTTTAGAGGCTGAGGAACTACCACGTCAGTAAATTTCTGGTTCTATTCTGCGATGTGCTGTCTTGCTTAATCTTGGTCTCTATCTCGTCAGAAGTTGGGCCAAGTGGAGGCCGAGATCTCCATGGAAACTGCAACCTGGTCTCTGTCTCGTCAGAAGCAGAGTCAGCTGAAGGCTGAGGTCTTCAGGGATACTGTTATTTTGGTCTATGTCTCGTCAGGAGTAGAGCCAGCTGAAGGCTGAGGTCTTCAGGAATACTGTTATTTTGGTCTCTGTCTCGTCAGCAGCAGAGCCAGCTGAAGGCTGAGGTCTTCAGGGATTCTGTTATTTTGGTCTCTGTCTCGTCAGTAGCAGAGCCAGCTGAAGGCTGAGGTCTTCAAGGATATCGTAAGATTGGTCGGTCTTGTTATTAGTACTGAAGTTTTAGAGTTGTCGCCGTCACTGTTAAAGGTTTACTTAATTGAATTTACGTGCAATTCTGTAATCGAATTGTGAATTTTGGTCTTAGTACCGGTAGTGGTTGATTCAGATTTGAATCATATTTGTGAAATAATAGTTGTGGCAAGTACACGGAGTGTTTTGCGTATGCTTTTGATTCACAGATTCGGCCTGTGGTGCAGAGGGCGTCGAGAACGTCGCAGCCATCAGGAAGGCCGTGTAAGAAACGAAAAATTTTGGCAAGCCGCTGCCGGTCACGAAGGGGTCCTGCAGTGTAGTTGCTGCTCTGATAGCTAAGGGAACGACGATCGGCCGCCGACTCTGGCAGGGCGAGCTGTAACGTCGAGCAGTGCACTTCGTGCTCGGATAATCTGCCGTTCCGAAATTACGTTAAATGGTTGTGCTATTATTATTGTTGTTAATACAAGTTGATTGGTGTAAAATTAGTGTATTGACTATCCGTGTTTCTAACAATATATACAAAGTTCAACAGACAGGAGGCGGAGGCCTGGCGGATCCGTCTGACAGGCTTAACGCGCGGTTATATCATGCTGAAGAACGCTGAGGAGCAAAGCCCGTTGACACGGCTGTAGAAGATAGCCAGATCGCCCGTTGTTCTCTGAACAGCATCGACTATGGACAACGTAGTCGAGGCGGCATCACCCCAAACATGTTAGCAGTACTCGAGGCTGGGTCTTATCTGATCCTTGACTAGACTGAGGAGATTATGTGGAGAAAAGCATTCCTTAACACCAGAACGATAATCCAGCATTTTGCAGAAACTGTTACGATTGACAGGTTATGCCCATGCTAAATCAAGTCTTCGGTGATCAGGACCTCGACCAGCCGAAACTGATGGATCTGTGATAGAAATCGACCATCTATCGAAGCTAGATGAGCGCTAGTGCGTTTTTTGGTAGCCAATGTCCAATACTGTGTTTTAGAAACATATCTTCTAGACAACAAAGACGGTAGTTGTCATATGGCAGATAAATGCACCAAGATCCAAGATTCAGACTTGCATACACCACTCGTTGGCTGGAGTGTGCAATCTTTGTCATTGGATGTTATCAGAACAAAGTCTAAAAGAGAACACTTTACTTGCTTATACCCACACTTCATCAACAGAAAACATTGTTACAATGTCAGCTACTAATAGGAATATAATTATGTAAGAACCTCCTTCATCTCATATTATAATTCAAAATATATTCGTTACAGTGTTTGTCAATTCTTACAATACATTGTCAATTAAAAGTTTTATGGGACACGATCTGCTCGTATGTGTAAAATCTGGTTATAGGTTTGCTCCATCGTTGCTGGGATATCGAGAATATCAAAAAATCTGCCGAAAGAGGTTTTTGAGTGTTTAGTAACCTTACCTAATTTATAAAGGTATATTAGTGTCTTCAGAGCAGTTGCGGTGCTTAGGTATTTAGGCGCTACCTCAACGCCAGTTCCATTATATAAAATGCTTGATAAATTATCTACCGTAACGGATCTTAACTGTTATAGTCACTCAAATAACTGTCACGTTTCCCTTGTTACCTTTTCCCCCTTTTCTTGCTTACGGCGTTTCCATAACGAAGCTGTCTGAGATTCGACGCAAATCTAGAGCACTTTGCCGCTTGGAAAATAGGATTGGCATATCTCAGTATAATTTGCAGATGTAGAGAAAATATTGGGACCACGAATCAACTTTGTGAAAGGTGATGGTGATAATTTCTGATCGGCATTGCTTTATTGGACTATCTGCAATACCGCAGCCAGAAGGTGCCTATTCAAATGCTAGTCCCAGACAAAATTTAACTTCAAGTACTGCTCACATGTTCAGTGTGCTGCCGCCCCGACTACATTGTCCATCCTTCACGCTATTTAGAGGAGGGCTGCTCGACCTCCACATGGTAACGGACTATGCTTCTCAGGCCTCTCCTCCATGATGCTGACGCGCGATGGGCCTGCCAGACAAACCAGCCAGGTTTTAACTTTCCGTCTTAACACTGTCAAACTCCGTACATCCTGAACTCGTCTGTATAACTGCTCCTTTGCTCCTAGGGTGGAATTTAGGAACAATCTGCCTGAGGAGGGGTTTTTCCTAATAGCAGTCGCGGTGCCTCGGCATTTAGGCTTCTTATTTACGAGGCTGCTACTGTATGAAAAAAAATGAACAAGCACTGGTACCGTATGATACGAGGATATCATAAGCTTAGCTAAAACATCGCAATGAAGCCTACAAATAGCATATTTGATGAATTATTGGGCAACTTCGAACCGAATTTCGACGGCAATGCCAGCAGCTATTGAGCAACATGTCGGGATACCGTTGTTTTTGGCGAGAACACGTGTATTTGCATAAATGTGCCGAGTTGGGGTGCGGTCGCCAGTTGCTTTCGGTGGGACCGGTCCTTTAAATTTCCAAACAGTATTGACATCTATAGGGAATATTTCTTCAGAGAATCCAGTTGCCCACTTTGTAACTTTGTCCTCGTTTAGCTTTTATTCCGCTTATCTTCGAGTATTGGTAGGGCAGGTAGAACCGGAAAGGATTAATTTACAACTTTGGGAGAGCAGAAGTTAGTCGTTAAATCAAATTAACTTCCAAGGTCAAGTTTGGAAGATTATTCAATTTAACTTTCGGAATTAAAATTTGCTTCTTATTTCAAAACAATTTATACCTACAGACAAGAATTATTGGAAGTGACTCATCGCTGACAGAGTTGTCATGTTGTCAGTAAGTGTATAAATTTTCCATTCTGCTATATTCTGAGTGCTGCTATACAGGGTGTCCGCAGAGTTGGGGTTTTCCTTTACACGACGTGTAGATCTTGAAAACATAAGCAATTTTTCTTAGTACCATACACACCAATGTCTTAAGGGAACCGAGATAAAGGGCTCTGCAACATCAAAAATATCTGAATACCGTCCTGTAGCCGCGACTCGCGATATCCCCAACTGGTACAAGGTCACTGGCTCAACCCGACGACAGAACTGGGTCGGGGTCAGTGTGTCAGGTCAGTATGCAACCTTCAACCGACGGTTACGGTCACGCGTGTAGAGGTAATCGCGAAGACGAGAATCCCTCAACAAGCACTAGAGACCTGGCTAGAGAAGTGCAAGTATCAAAAACTAAAGTGTGACAAACGCTGCGTGAAGAGGGGCTGTATCCGTTTCACGTCCAACGTGTACAAGCCCTTGAACCTGACGATTTTCCATCAAGAGTGCGGTTTTGTGAGTGGTGACAATAATCCGGACTTTTTGAAGTGCATATTGGTGACAGACGAATCTACGTTCACGCGTAATGGGGTGAATAACTTTCGCAACACTCATGTTTTTTCAGTAGAAAATCCGCAGGCTATCCGTCGGGCACATTTTCAACAAACATTTTCGGTGAATGTTTGGGCTGGCATGGTGAACGGTATGCTCATTGGACCATTTATTCTCCCAAATCGATTGGACGGGATGCAATACCTAGACTTTTTACGCAACATTTTGCCTTCCTTGTTAGAAGATGTGCTATTAATTGTAACACAATCAATGTGGTTTCTGCGTCTGCTCGGTAGCGCATCAGCTGATTTCATTTTCTGTTGGAGCGGTATGATTTCAGGCAGAGACGTACTTAGCCCTTCTCGCCAACCGGAGAGTGAGTACTTTTTCCTTTATTTTTTTTACTTGGTCGCCCTCGTTTCACTACACATTACCTTTGTTATTTCAAGGGTAGTTGTTTCTGAAAAGGAAAACCCCAACTTTGCGGAAACCCTGTATATTCTTTAGTACTACGGTGCCTTATTAAAATTAAGTATTCGAAAACGCAGGCTATTTATTGTACCAAACAACGTCGCGGCACCCCAGCCTTGGTTTCGGTAGACGTAAATCATATACCATAGACAAATTTTGTCGGTGTCATCCTTGATAAAGGCATGACCTGGCAGAAACATACAGCAGCGTTGAAAACAAAATTCCACATGCGTTTCGGCAACTATATCCTTTGTTACGTAGATTCTCCAAATTGAGTTTGGTAAACAAAGTTCGACCACATAAAATGATTATTAGACCAGCCATTACTTATGCATGTGTTTGGTGTTTTCTTACCAAGACACACATGCAAAGTCTTTAAGCACTGCAAAGCAGAACTCTAAGAACAATTTGCAACGGTCCATGGCATGTCTCGAAATTACACTCTAACAAAACATGAATTAAAATTTATTTTTAGTTCACCTCAAAATTAATCCGCGTACCAAGTCAAAAAGCCTAGGTGTTTTCTCTTAAACTAATACAATCGGGCAAAGGTCATACGGACCGCCCAGACAAACAAATGGCGAATAGTTTTCGATTTCACACTTTTGTAGAGTATTTAGGTACATTCATTTTCAAATCTATCCACAGAGGTTTCTCAGCAGCAGACGTAATTTACTGCTGTCAATTATCACATGTAATTGGGAGAGGTGGATTAACCCAATGTTTCTGTTGCAATTATGTATTTTATCCCAGTTTTTCTTTTGTTCCATTGTCTGGAATAACACGGTTTCTGATAATTCTAATACATGTTCGCAACAAATACTCCAGCGACCCAAATGTCCGTCTACCTGTAGCAAGAAGGAGCAGTATATTTTTGCTGTATAAATGTATTTCGAACAGAAATCCGGGAGAAAAAAAGTGATCGTATTTCTTTGCCTTTTAGGTTAATACCTTCCAATACACACATACATTATGTATGAACATCGAGAAAAGGAGCGATTTGGACTGGATGACCTACAGTTAATATGTTTATTGGGTATTTTCTATACGGTTTCGCTATCCAATATTTTAAAGAATTGTATATATTTAAGCCATGCGTCCACAGCTACGTATCTTACCCATTGCACTCATGGTACTGTACGCATGCGACGGACAAAAGGTACAGGCGAAAAATAGGGAATGTCACAGTTGTTATTTTCTTTTAGTTTTCCTTTGGAAGCAAATCCTTGTATATGATATTTTAATTCCCAATCGTAGTCTTTAAAATAAGTAAAAAGCGCCAAACAGACATTTTTGCTTATTGCCGAAACGAAAAGAACTGGGAATATCCATGTCATACCGGCAAAGAAGAAGGATTGTCCAAAATGATAGTTGTAATAATTTTGAGATGAGAAGTTATATAAAGTTTGCGGTATAATAACTTGAATTCGAATATGTTTTCTGTTTCAGATAATGATGAAAATAATGAGAGTACTTAACAAATCAACAAAGAAAAGAAATAAAACTGGTAGAACCGAAGATATAGTATAATGAACATGTGGCGACTTTATTTTCAATAACAAGGAGCAT